ATGTGATCCCTTAAAATACCACCAAAGCATTCTGTAAAGAGCACCATTCACAAGTAAAATATTTCTTATTTCGAGAAAAGGTTCTCTATAAAACTTTAGCAGGAAGTATGCAAGAAGGTTACATGAAATTGAAATCAATCACCACTTGAAATACATCGAACGCTGAAACGTGGTACAGTCCTAGAATGTTTTGAAATCATACCACAATCAGTAATAGAGATAATTTTATTTCCGTGTCGATAAAATTTTCTTGTACAACAGAGCTAATTATTTTTTCTTACGAATAAATTGGAAAAAGGGTCTTGGAAAATTTAGGATTTTGTAGTGATCCCTTCCTTTCAATTTCCACAAAACACAACAACCTTACAAAGAATAAAAAAGAGTGGCGTTTATTGTGTGTTCCTGAAGGCAGTTCATAATTACCTTTGAGTAAATATATGTTGTGAGCTGCGGGTCCTCCACTTCCATTAGCTTCACAATCCATAGATTCTCCATATTTGTCAAACGTCTCTAAAGTGGTAGCACTTGCTGTACACCAGCCGCCATTCTGAACTGCAAAGATACTGTAACCCTTTCTCATGGTAGCCACGGCGCAATTTGCGATTGGATTTGCATGAGAATTGTGAGCATCGTCAAAGATGGCATCCTTTCCCTCTAATGTTTCAATTGCGCGACTTCCAATATCAGGCAGTGACTCATTTGAGCTGTTTTTGTAACAACCAACGGCCTTATAACCTAAAGAATTACAAAAAATAAAAAATAAAAAACCATACCATGAATTAGCGGTCGTCAGTATAGTGTGATCGTCCGGATGAGGGTTACCTTGAAAAAGACTTTTGCAGGTGTCTGACGAGCATGACTGCCCACAAAGCTTCGGAACTCCTTCTCACGAACAGCACACTATACGACTAACTGTTACTCCAGGACCGGGTTGTTCAAGGCTGGGTTAAGATAGCCCAGGGTTAGTGTGAAATGTCATCTAAGATCTGAAAGCTTTAAAAGAAAATTCACTACAATTATATTTCTCTATAGTTTGATGACTGGATGCCCTTCAAAGAATAGAGGCAATCATCTGGGAAAGGTTACTTTTCATTCCACTAATTTATTTGTGTTTTTCTCGTTGCCATGTTCCCACCAATAACGTAGCTCCATTTTCTGCCTTTAAAAGCACACACAACTCACAATTCCTCTATTCGCTCCGACG